AACAATAATGTCGCTGTTTAGAAAACTTTCTATCTTGAAGGTGAAGTTTACGCCATCAAATAGCTTTGGGTTATATAAATTATTGTAATTTGATGTCGGAACCATTTGAATATTTTGTAATATATCATGAGGTCATTAATATATCGAGTTAGTGACGATACCTATGTAGGAAGGAAATGGTGGCGGTATCTGGTTCCTGTACAGTGCTTTGTAACTGTTAACAACAGTTCAACAGTTTACTGTTAATCTATGTTATTCAGTGATAAAGTATCAGTGAAATTGTACTGGTCGGAATAAACAGTTGGAGATTTTCTATTTAGGATTAAATGAGTGTGTGGCAAAGTGAGAGTGATCATTGATGCTATTTGCTGTGTTTGTTTAATCTATCAATCAGACCTAAATGTTGAGTTTCGAGTTTCAGAAAGACTTAGCATGCCTACGGCAAAAGGCATGGTCCGAGATCAAGGAGGGCCCGTACTCGTTCTTATGCAGGTGCTAATTCCCAGGCAGCAACAGTCTAGTCGGGGATGTTTCAATACAGATAAAGAGTTTTTGGAATTATAATTCTGTGTAAATTCGGTTAAGTAATAGTGTAAATGGCTGCATATTTATCTTTATAAATTTATCGAATTTGCAAAATCTGATTTCTTGATTTAACGGACTTGTTTATACTGTATATTTTAATGTTTGGAATCCTGATTCATTTTGATGGAATTTTCTGATTATGTATTGTTTGTGGGTAGTAAACACGCCAACCAATTGACGGGTCGGCACTTTCCAATAAAGCCGTGACCACAGGTTTTTGTGTCCTTTTTTCTATAATAAAGCAATCTACATACAAAACAAAATGTCTTCATAGTTATAAAAATATAAATGTTCAAATAAACATAATCAAGGACACTTATACAGTTCAAAAATACGTTGCTAATGATAAGGATGATATAGCAAAGGTTAAATTTGAAAATGAATGGAATAAATGGGATAGTCTTTTTAAGATGTAATTCAAATTATCTGTTACACAAATTCATATCTGACTCCAAGTCCTTTTAAGTACAGTTTCCGGTAAAATAAATCACCTACTTCACTAACACAGTCCTGTACACAGTCAAAACCACATTAATGATTAATTGGGATAAAAATAGTACTTTTTTGGGCGCGTGTGATGGTGGATGTGTGAGGGTGTGTGTGTGTGAGGGTTTGTGTGCTAGGGTGTGTGTGTGCATGCAGAATGCATGTCTATGTATAATATATGTGTGTATGTCTGATGTGTTTGTATTTACATATCTATAGATATAGCATTGATAATGGAGATACTGATGTGATTCTGTTTTAAAATTGGAGATATGTATATTATCATTATATCATCTATGTACAAAGGCGTATGTGTGGAAGTGCATATTGTCACACAATGTATTCCTTTTTGTATTAGTTCATTGTTTTGAATAAAATGATAAGTTACAAAAGACAAAAAAAAAAAAAAAAAACACACACACACACACACACACAGAGTTATCAAATCTGGATAAACAGTGTTTTACAGAAATCGATTCTGAGATATATTCAACATCAAACACGCCCAGCTTGATATATCACAAAGAAATTAAATATTTCTCAATGAGATTACTATGACGACAGTAAATTTATTTCACTTGATCTGAATCTTCATAACGATAAACATTGGAAAATTGATTAACACTTAAAATGTACGCATCAATATTTCCCAGAAATAACTACACTATACATAGGTCACAATTTTCATAGAAATTTGTTTTAGGTGGAAATTTGTAGAAAATTACATCCTAACATTCCTCAACACTTCCTTCTTCAATTGTTGTGTAGTGAATTACTCAGCATCTATGTCACTCTTCTTAGAAACGCTTGAACATAGTGTTATAACACATAATTTGTAAAATTAATGTGTAAGCCGGTCACTCCGTTATTATATTATAGAATATTATACAAAAGAATGTATTTTACCTTGTTTTGTTTCAGTAGCCAACAAATATGTACATCTTAAAAAACAAGAAAATGCAATCATGTCAACAGAATCATAATTCGAACTCAAAGTCGATAAAACAAGGGCAAAATTTAAACAAAAAAAACTGACACGGAGTCTCAAGGAGAATAAGACCAGATGTTCCAAAAATGTAAGCGTATTCTGCTTCATTGACGACACACGCCATGTAAGCCTTAGTCAAGCCGGCAATGAAAACGACTAATTACATGCCTGACATGGAATATGTTTTCAGGATATCATAGCCAATACCATATCCCTTTTTCATATTCTTCATCAACCTGCTTCTCTCGAATCACTGTGTGGTCATCTCTCATCTGTTGACAGCTATTATAAAACCATGATACTGGTAGCAAGCCATGGAGTAAAATGTCACATGAAAACACCTTACGCTGGGGAGGCAGTGATTTTAAAATTAACTTTCCGCGAGAGATTTCAAGGCCGGCGGATACACTTACAAGACCGAATTTCGAGAGATGAAGTTGATGAAGATTTTACAAAAGTTTCCGGGAAATCGTCTCGTCTATTCCACTGATAAATAGGCTTGATTAGTTCGATGCTGCTTAGGTTCTGTCTCGATGTTTTGTCAATTTCAAATTACAATTACATATGTGTTTACAAAAGCTGTTCACACTTCTTAGAGGCGTCTGCCTTCGTTATCGGAGAGGTGAAATGACGTCGCGGTGTTTCGACTAGGTTCCTAAGTTTAAATTGTGATGTCGCAACATATAGTTACATTAGTTGTGTCTTTAAATATTGTGTTTGTGCTATTATTTTTACTAATGAGATGATGTGTTTGGTTTTATATAATATCGTTTGATAATAAGCAGAATAAGTTTATTCATTTCGGATTCGTTACTTTAACATGGGCTTAGAAGTGGAGAGTTCCTGGACGATTCTTACGTAAACAACATACATTTTTGTATTTGTTGGATACCAATCTGGTGCTTTAAATTCTTGCTATCAATATCTTACATACTGACCGTTATAGAAGAATAATATCTGTTATTCTTTATCATCGTCTTTTAAAATCTACGTACAAATACAAAATATATTTATAATGTACATCACTCGTAGCGTTTTTCAGTGTTGATTTCCTAAATCCACTGGCGTGACGTTCGTTGATTTTGAGGAGTGGTTCCTAAATTTACGAACAGGTCAATGCGATAGCTTTCCATATAAATATTTCAAATCACGTGTTTAGTGATAAGTTCTGTTTCCTACTTATCATTATGTTCAACTTGTGCATGAATGAAAAATCATTTATTAGAAAAGTTTTTATCTCCGTTAAAAACTAATTTTAGAAATAATCCGTCCACTCTGATAGAGTTGTTAAATAAAAAAAAAAACATGTACGATAACACTATTAGTGGCGGATGACAGCAATATCGGCCATTGTTATATAAATAATCATTCACATAAGTTTAAGTCGGTGAAGGCTTGTCAAAATATCAGCTTAAGTTGCCGGGTAGAAGATATGGAGATCGAAGTGAGAAGGTGAGGTAAGACGATAAATACATTAAACAATTACAAAGTCAGTATTGAAGTAAAACATAACATATAATGAGTCTATTTCAAACCAAATATCTTTACAAATCGCTAAACACTGCACAAGAGAATCATAATCAGCCTCTATGGGACTAAGGAGGATATTTATGGTAACGTGGCACAACATGGTGCATTTTCAGTAACATCCAAACATCTTCAAAAGGACACACAGATGAATAGGACCTTTTATTACAAATTTGAGAATTAATCATACTAAAGCCAGAAAATAATTAATTAATGTGTATCATACAGCTGTTTCGTCCTTCTAGGACTCGTCAGTGATGTTACATCATACAGCTGTTTCGTCCTTCTAGGACTCGTCAGTGATGCTACATCATACGGCTGTTTCGTCCTTCTAGGACTCGTCAGTGATCCTACATCATACAGCTGTTCGTCGTTCTAGGACTCGTCAGTGATGTTACATCATACACCAATTTTGTTCTTCTAAGACTCGTCAGTGATGTTACATCATACAGCTGTTTCGTCCTTCTAGGACTCGTCAGTGGTGCTACATCATACAGCTGTTTCGTCCTTCTAGGACTCGTCAGTGATGCTACATCATACAGCTGTTCGTCCTTCTAGGACTCGTCAGTGATCCTACATCATACAGCTGTTCGTCCTTCTAGGACTCGTCAGTGATGCTACATCATACAGCTGTTCGTCCATCTAGAACTCGTCAGTGATGCTACATCTTACAGCTGTTCGTCCTTCTAGGACTCGTCAGTGATGCTACATCATACAGCTGTTCGTCCTTCTAGGACTCGTCAGTGATGTTACACTATATAGCTGTTCGTCCTTCTAGGTAGGACTTGTCTGTGATGCTTCACCAAACAGCTGTTCGTCCTCCTAGGACTCGTCAGTGATTCATCATGCAGTGTTTCGTCCTTCTAGGTAGGACTTGACAGTGATGCTACATCATACAGCTGTTTCGTCCTTCTAGGTAGGACTTGTCAGTGATGCTACATCATACAGCTGTCCGTCCTTCTAGGTAGGACTTGTCAGTGATACTACATCATACAACTGGTTCGTCCATCTAGGTAGGACTTGTCAGTGATGCTACATCATACAGCTGTTTCGTCTTTCTAGGACAAATGTCAGTGATGCTACATCATACAGCTGTTTCGTCTTTCTAGGACAATTGTCAGTGATGCTACATCATACAGCTGTTTCGTCGTTCTAGGACAAATGTCAGTTTTTACTCTAATTCAACAATTCCTCATTTTTGTTCAGTCATTTTGTTTTTATCATATTTTATCTGTTTTATTAAAACGATGAATTTGCAAATATCATTCACCAGCAATCTGTTTAATACGAAACTCCACTCGATAATTTGAAAACTGTGTATTCATTTTCAGATATGAGTGCATTAGTACAAACAGACAAATAAAGCATCAATCATCGACATCTACAGAACTAAGAGTGTTACTAAATGGTTTACCTCGGTTGATGAGGAGAACGGCGATGAAACACACGATGATAGTATTCATCGTCATCGTTGATAAATGGATCCTTTCCCCTTTGATACGATGACTTCTATCGTCGTCCTAGTTAAGGATGTTGATGTATCAAATGAAGGTTATACAATGGATGTAAACAACTCAGCGTCCTGAATCCATATACACACAATACACCCAGTCATGTTCCGGTTTCCGCTTAGTCTTACGGACATAGCACGTGCATTGTCTTCTCTCACCTTCACGCTGCCGTATTGTTGTACAGGTCAGTAGGTCGTATTCAAACCAGGATCCTCGCTGGGTAACATGCACAGTGAAATATTTTTTATATCAAGCTTCAAAGGTCTCTCTGCCACACATACATAAATGTATATATAGCTTATCATACACGTCAATATTTCCGTTTTGTAAGAGTACTTCGTCGTCCTTACATCTAACGCATACTTAAGCGTTTTAAACACATCTCCCGTTAGTGACCAAAGATCAGCACGGCAAAAGTCTACATAATGGGCAACACTTCCACGTCACCAAGGATATTCAGTACAATAAACAAAGAGACAAAGAAACACAAAGACAGACAGGTGCCCGCATCATATCCCGATAAATAGCCGAGTAGTTAACACATCAAAAGTTACATACCCACGCTGAATCCGGATAAGTCAAAAATCTATGAATTCGGATTACTAGATACAGTAGCCATAGAATCGGATCCGGATGAAAATCGGTCCAGATCACTACTCATCTATCGATACGCAAGAGAATGAAAAGTAGTTCTATTTAAGGATCCGGGACTCCTGAGAAAAAAACTCCCACACAGTATTCAGATCAATGGTTAGTAATTAGAAATATCAGCACGGATCAACAGTCAAAAAGCTTCGGCATTATATAAGCCTTGATAAGTGTAGAACTTTTAATTTATTTATTCTACCGTTTTAACAATCTACAAATAACTCGAAAATGGTTTGAAATTAATGAATTTCTGTGTACAAATTGATTTCGTAAATGTTTACCTAAACGATACCTCGACAGAAAAGATTACGGATACAAGTGTTGGGGCCAAAAACGCTTGGAAAGAGCATAAAGCATACTGTGAAATATTTGTACTAAATTTCAAAAATTAGAGTGATGTCCCTTGTCCTTTGTCAACGTACGAGTTTATCGACCGCGGACTTACATTTTCACAATTTTGTGTATATTGCCGAATGGATCCATGTTGTACAAGTTTGAACATTTGTTAATTTCTTAATCATGTTGCACTGATGGTTAAGATATTACTATTGACGTGCTTAATGACGAGAATCATTCGTCAAATGAACATTTTCCATCATATTCAGGCAGAATCCAAGCGCCATTTTGTAGCAACTTTTATGAACAACTCCAGGAATCTATGGGCACTGCTTAGGTTGGTCGACCAATTTGCTTGAACATTGGTGGGAAATAAGGTTAATTATATGCAAAGCTGTCGGCAATGCTCTTTCCTATGGCAAATGAAAATAAATACCGTCTTTTTAATATTCATTGCGATGCCCAATACTGCCGGTGTCGACATAAATTAAGCCCAATTTTTTCTGAGTTATAATCAATTCGGAATGCCTCAAGATTCTACCTTATAATGTAGGGTCACAAGCATACAGAATTCCTCTTGGTTATACAATGTAGCTAACAAAACGAGATGATAAAGTAACAAACTTCGCTCAAATATTTATATATTTTATTTAACAAACATAAAAATACATGTCTGCCTTGACAATGATTAAATGAAATTTACATGAGCAATTTATATAAAAAAATTATCACACTTTTTGGTTTCTTGTCACTGCATTTATAGTAAATAGGGAATTGACGGAACTTTAGTATATGTGTAATAGCAATCGTATTGAAATACATATACATGCACATTTGTATACATGGCATGAATCAATCAAATTCATTAATTCAACTGATGAGCTTAACACATGCTCTAGAAGTTATATTGGTACCATGGTTAGAAAAAAACTTATTAATTCGAAATTAATCAATTTGAAAGAAACTTTTGATATTTAAGGTAAATGTTGGAAAGTTTTTTTACAGTAATACGATAAAGAAAACAAATAAATGAAGAACCGACGATCATCCAAAGAATGACTTATATTTGTATCCAAACTCCTGCAGTTTTTTTTCTAAATAGTTACAACAAATTGAATTGAACATTAAATGTCTCTTATACAATAGAATCTAAATTTTTGATGAATGAAATCAGGCTCTCATATTATAGTTCATTTCAGAATGAATGTACTCATTACTGCAAAACATTCTCTTTGTTAGGGCATTTAGTTTTCCTATGTGCAGAACCACATATGCTACATGTATAGGATTTAACTTTCAGTCTTTTGTGTTTTTCTAGTTCAAATATTCTGTTTTGCTTTTCCATTATTTGTTTCAATGCTGCATTACCTTTATGGTTTGAACTACGGAAATATTGTTTTGTGACAACATCATTGGCTTTCTCTAAACCCTGCTGGGTAAACTGTGATATTCCTCCATGCATCTCTATGAGCTCTGGGACGTGGTACCTGAGTAAGTGAATGTATGGTGTAATGTCCCTGCACTGGTAAGCCAACACAAACAAAGAACACCAAGCATCAACTTTTTCCACAAGTTCATTCACATCACACCTAGACTTGAGCATGGTGTTAATAACACTGAATTGATTCCAAACCTCCTGAATCTGAGAAGATCTTTCTTCACTCAATCCAAGGTCTTTGATTTGTAACTTGCCTAAGACAATTTCTTTATCTGGACCCTGTAAATCTGTATACTCAAACTCTTTGTTTTTATTGATAAAAAACACAAACTTAACTCCGATATTTTGTAGTACATTTTCAAATTGTGGTATGCATTTCAACTTTGTTTTATCAAGTACACCTGCGTTTAAACTTCTTTGGGATGAAATATTGTCTACAGTTCTTAACTCAGTGATCAGCAATGCCAAAAGCTTATCCATAATTCTCAAAAAAAGATGAAGTATGTCAACAACAACATCACAAAGAGGTATTTCTGGGAAAAGCGGGGGATTGACAACTGAAAATGATTGCCGTGGTTTGACCCGTGACCTTTTATGCTGCTTTCCTTGAGATACAAATTGACATGTATATTCTACCCTAGCACCCTTTTCCTTGTCAGTTAAAGACCAACATTTGCTCAAATCACAGCGCTCATTTCTTGAACAATTGCAGTAAATACAATTGTAGTTGGCTTGGATGGAAGACATTCCCAATGCCATTAAAAGAAATTTATAATCTCCTCCAAGATATATTTTCACATGAAAAGATCTTTCTCCAATATCCAGCTTTAAACCTTGAAGATCTCTGACCTCATTTCTCAGATCTGTCAATGCATGTCTTAGCTCATCATATGCCTCTTTAGTTTTTACTATTGCCAAGGGATAATTTCCTTGAACTGATACACACTTTGAATCATTCATTACAGTAAATGTAAAATTGACAAAGTTCATATGTTTTCCAACGCGAGTTCCATCTCCAGATATTTTTATTTTCAGCACATTTTCAGGGGCAAATTCAGGATTGTCTGAAACAATGTCACTGATAACGGCTTCAAGTCTGACCTTCAGAGACTGTTGTACACCTGACCCATCTGGTGTATCTCTTATATCAAACCCAGAGTTTAGATGTGATATATACTGGGAAAGCTTATAACTACGAGGTAGGGAATGGTACAACATGCTTATTTCATGATAAGCATTTCTTGAAATGTTAAAAGAATCAAGAACATATATGAGCATGTTTAGTTCCTCAATCTCATCAACAGATAAAGAGGTAGTGTCATCTTTTACTGATTTGTCAGAATCTACTAGTGTTATGACATTAGGTCTACCGTTGTCCCGCATTACATTCACAGATATGGGTTGGCAATTAAACTCTTTGAGAAATGACAGAGAGGTTTTACACTTTTGGGATTCAAATTTTCTAACTTTACTTTTGTATGATGGTGTACAATCGCTTAATTTTCTCTTCAAACCTACTCTTGGAGTTGATGTTAAATTGCTCTTTTCAGACTCTGACTGCTTTTTCAATTTTTCAATAAGCTTCTCATTTTCTGTGGATAAATATGAAATTGTGTTTTCAAGCTTACTTTTCTCTAACAAAATTTTATCATTCTCAATTGTTTTTTGTTCCAATTTTGCTTGTATTTTATGTCTATCTAACCCAACATTCCAATGGTACATTGCATTTTCCAATTTCTTAATGAACTCTTGGTGCTGCCTTCCACCCTTCTTGTGTTTCTGAATACTTGTGTTCCTTAATCTATCAAGTTCAACTTTCAAAAGATGTCTTTGCTTGTTATTTGCTATAAATGAAATATTCATTTCATCTTCCAACATTTCCTGATATCTTTCCATACATTTTCCTAAAGATTTCCCCCAAAATTCTCCACTTTTCAATACTTTAAAAAGAACTTTTTTTGGAATAAGCATATCTTTTGTATATGGTGAAGGATTTAATCCTTATTGTAATTCAAACTTAAAAGTCTGAACTAAAAAAAAACCTCTAGAGAATGACTGGTATGTCTATAACTTATCAGCATTTAACAAGTCTGGCCACAAAACTTTGTTTCCAGGGCTCACAACAAAAGCAAAACAGAATGTCATTCCTCTGTTTAAGTAGGTTTCCTCTGCATAATCTGGATACAAAATGTATTCTTTCATCGGCTTTCTTTCATGGACCCAAAACCTCACTGTGTCTGTGATGACATAGAAATTGTCACCTTGCTGATTTATAATCCTGAAGTCCCAACTAACCCCAAGGAACTTTTCCAAAGCATGTCTATTTCTGATGCAGTAAACATGCTTTCCATGGGTCACTTTGTGTAATACTGCCTTTGATATTAACATCCCAACATCCTCTAGACTTTGCTCGTTGATAGGGATCCTTATAACTTTATGGGTGTCTTTCTTTCCACATGAGCACAGCTGGTCTTTAATTTGGATCTGTGAATGGGGAAAAAAGAAATATTTATCTATTTGTGATTCAAAAGAAAAAGTACCATGTACCCAAGGTTATTCAGAATCACCGTGTAAGACTCTCCATAATATTCTCCAAATTTTAAGTATTGTAAAAATCAAATAATAATAAAAAAAAAATTGACAAATTACAGTCCTCCAACGAGCATGAATTTATATGCATATAATGAATTTGTTTAATGTAGGTCAAACATCAAAAGGAGCTCACAGTGACCTACTTCTGACAGGTGACGCATGAGCTTGGCAAGGTGAACTCATAACCGAAGACAAGTATGAAGTTCCAGTGACATTTACTATAATATATAGGAGATACAGCCAGGACAAGCCTTTTTATGTAGGTCAAAGGTCAAAACGTAGGTCACAGTAACCTATAATTTGGTATACTTTCAACTCAATTAGACACTTTTATATATTACATTAAAATAGCTTCTCCCTCAGTAGATGTACCTGCAGCTGCTGTAGCAGAAAGCTGTTTATCATACATGTACTTCTGCTCTCCTTAATTGCATCCCGCTCTAACCACTCATCAAATTTGTGGGAGTATCCTACAAAAAGAAGAATTAATATCAGTCACATTTTGTATCTGACCCCTCACATGAGATAGATCAATACCAGGTGCAAGTGTTTATATCAGCAGCAATCATTTAAAACAATCAAAATCAAGTACTATGAGAGAGACTACCACTGGACAATCTATGTGTAAAATTGAAGTATCTATTCCAAATAAAATTACAGAAATAATCAAATCCTGATTTATAAATATATTTATATAAATTATTTTTCTGATAACAAATATACACATGGAAGGACACTTTTACTCTGTTACTAGAGCACTAGTTCAAAATTGTTTCAGATTTATGTCATTATGATTACCTATATAGTGGACTCTACTTCGTTGGTCATTTTGCTGTAATATCGTCACTGGATAGTAGATATCACTGGACTTTGTCTTTATTCCAGATGTTCCAGATCTTGAACTTGTTGCCTTCTCACCTTTACCAAGTTCACTTAAGGAAAAAAATGAAATCAGTAACACCTTTATTTTAATCACTTACATGAATACACATGTTAAAACAATAGCTATCTTATAATATTAAAGGATGGGGTATTGTTCTGTAACACAGGAGCAGAAAAAATGGGCCGCCAGACCCGCGGGCTCAAACCCAGGACCTTCCAAACTACAAACCGATTGCTCAACTTATTGAGCTAACTGGTCACAATTGATCTGCCCAGTCCAGTTTCACTACAGTACTATTTACCTAACACATTGAATTTTCCATGGAGTTAAAATTTAAACATCTGTCAAGATCTGATGCTTGTTATCAAGCGAAGTTAACTACTTATTAACTTTTAATTGATCTACTGATCTGAAAGATCTAATACTTAATATATATCCCCCTCCACACACACACCCTAGCCCACACCGTGGCATGTAACATGTAGGCCTATTATGAATTATAATTAAAAATGAATATCTAACCCCAGCGTCGACCACATGTAGATATGTGTGTATTGAAAGGCGAGGCTAGGTCTAAAGTGCTCTACAAGATGTATTATATATAATTACTGCAACATGGGCGTGGATCCCCATGTCAGATCCCTGGACCCAGGTAAAGGTAGGATTTTCAATATATTTTTAGGGGTGGCCATTGGGGTGGGGGTGTCGGCCTGAGGTAATCTTTCCTTGTCAGGACTCAGTAGTCCCACAGAAGAGACGTTCCGCAAACAATACCTATTACGGGAAACCGCTCCTTCAGGCCGGGCAGTATTTCCTGGGGTATGTAACTGGCAGTCACTGCACCAATCGGAGTAAAAAGGTAAACTTTCAATCGAATGGAGCTGAATTAACAACCGAGTCCAGTGGGAGGGATAAACTGTTAAATAATAACATCATTGATTACAATAAAAACGAAACTTACTTGTAATTACTGACCTGTCGGCCGTCTTTTGTGCAAATTTTAGGATCTCGTCGCAACCCCGCCAGTAACTCCATCTTCTTTTTTCTATTAAGTCACATGATTTAGAACAGGGGCGATAACTCACGCTAAGGACAATTATTTCACGACATGATTGTCTAATTTTGCCAGTTATATGTAGGTGTCGAATAAAATAACCCATACACCACGAGTTTGTCGAAGTCTTGTCACCACACTATTCGTAATAATAAAGTTGTCTTTACATAAAATTTTAAAATTCTATTTTTCTGTTAAATTTGCATAAGAAAGAAGCTTAACTCTTGCCATTTAAATTTTTATTGAAAATAGCATCAAGGAACTTTTTTAATGTTAAGTTATAGATTTGAATTCAGTTGCGGATATATTGTCTACACATATATAAAGGAGAGCTTTTATCGTTCTATCTGCAGAATGAACACAAAATATGGAATTTAATTTTTGAATGCCTGTACTAACCGTATTGATATCACAAACAGTACTATTATTACCAGCAATATTGTTAATACAAATTGTATTGTTATAACAAATTGTGTTGTTATAGTCAGTAGTATGGTTATTACAATAAAATAGTATTATTACAAATATTATTGTTGTTGAAAATAAATAGTATTATTACAAATTGTATTGTTATTACAAATTGTATTGTTATTACAAATAGTATTGTAATTACAAAGTGTGTTGTTATTACAAATTGTATTGTTATTACAAAGTGTGTTGTTATTACAAATTGTATTGTTATTACAAAGTGTATTGTTGTAACAAATGGTGTTGTTATTACAAATGGTATTGTTATTACAAAGTGTATTGTTATTACAAATTGTATTGTTATTACAAAGTGTATTGTTGTAACAAAGTGTATTGCTTTCTGATCAAAGTATAAGTACCTATTTTGACCTATGAACTTTAGAATTATTCATGACTTATCAAAGAGGGCATGACAGGAAAATGTCGACAATTTTTAGTCTTTGTACAATGATGTAAAATGTTGTGTTATAATAATAGTTTATCTGATTTCTTTAATTGTAGAAATGTTCCGGGGGGAAAGTTTATCCCTGAGAATGTTTTCTTTGTATATGAATGACTGTGAAATTAATGTTTTTAACAAATGAAATTTCTCCTATTGAATCACAAACAATAAATTAATTCTTGCTGATGTGTGCAGACACCACGGTTCGGTGAGATGAAACAACTGAGGGTTTACAGAAAAATGCTAGGTGTTTTGTTGATATATACCAATGAATGGGGTTAACTGTAAATACAGAAAAAACCCAAAAGTGATGTTTTTTAGAAACGGGGTATGTTCACTAGGTATGTCCCCGTACACTCACTAGGTATGCCTCCGTAAGTTCACTAGGTATGTCCCCGTATGTTCACTAAGTATGTCCCCATATGTTCTCTAGGTATGTCCCCATATGTTCTCTAGGTATGCCCCCGTATGTTCTCTAGGTATGCCCCAGTATGTTCTCTAGGTATGCCCCCGTATGTTCACTAGGTATGTCCCCGTATGTTCACTAGGTATGTCCCCGTACACTCACTAGGTATGCCTCCGTAAGTTCACTAGGTATGTCCCCGTATGTTCACTAAGTATGTCCCCGTATGTTCACTAGGTATGCCCCCGTATGTTCACTAGGTATGCCCCAGTATGTTCTCTAGGTATGCCCCTGTAAAGACCCCTGTATATTCTCTAGGTATGCCCCCTTATGTTATCTAGGTATGCCCCAGTATGTTCACTAGGTATGTCCCCATATGTTCTCTAGGTATGCCCCCATATGTTCTCTAGGTATGCCCCCGTATGTTCTCTAGGTATGCCCCCGTATGTTCTCTAGGTATGCCTCCGTATGTTCACTAGGTATGCCCCCGTATGTTCACTAGGTATGCCTCTGTATGTTCTCTAGGTATGCCCCCGTATGTTCACTAGGTATGTCCCCGTAAGTTCACTAGGTATGTCCCCGTAAGTTCACTAGGTATGTCCCCATATGTTCACTAAGTATGTCCCAGTATGTTCCCTTGGTCTGTCCCAGTATGTTCACTAGGTATGTCCCAGTATGTTCACTAGGTATGTCCCCATATGTTCACTAAGTATGTCCCAGTATGTTCACTAGGTATGCCTCCGTATGTTCACTAGGTTTGTTCCCGTATGGGCCCCCGTATGTTCTCTAGGTTTGTCCCGGTATGGGCCCCGTATGTTCTCTAGGTTTGTCCCGGTATGGGCCCCCGTATGTTCTCTAGGTTTGTCCCGGTATGGGCCCCGTATGTTCTCTAGGTTTGTCCCGGTATGGGCCCCCGTATGTTCTCTAGGTTTGTCCCGGTATGGGCCCCGTATGTTCTCTAGGTTTGTCCCGGTATGGGCCCCCGTATGTTCTCTAGGTTTGTCCCGGTATGGGCCCCGTATGTTCTCTAGGTTTGTCCCGGTATGGGCCCCCGTATGTTCTCTAGGTTTGTCCCGGTATGGGCCCCGTATGTTCTCTAGGTTTGTCCCGGTATGGGCCCCGTATGTTCTCTAGGTTTGTCCCGGTATGGGCCCCGTATGTTCTCTAGGTTTGTCCCGGTATGGGCCCCGTATGTTCTCTAGGTTTGTCCCGGTATGGGCCACGTATGTTCTCTAGGTTTGTCCCGGTATGGGCCCCCGTATGTTCTCTAGGTTTGTCCCGGTATGGGCCCCGTATGTTCTCTAGGTTTGTCCCGGTATGGGCCCCGTATGTTCTCTAGGTTTGTCCCGGTATGGGCCCCGTATGTTCTCTAGGTTTGTCCCGGTATGGGCCCCGTATGTTCTCTAGGTTTGTCCCGGTATGGGCCCCGTATGTTCTCTAGGTTTGTCCCGGTATGGGCCCCGTATGTTCTCTAGGTATGCTCTCGTAGGTTAAAAATACATGATAGCAGCAATAGATATTATTCACTGACAAACAAACATTATACATAAAAGTATTAGTTTGGATTTTGAAGTTTTTTGTTAAAGGAAGACAAACTTGAGGTTTAAGAACAATTAAACGAGGCTCCTGATTGAAACGGTCAGACAAAGGTCATATTGTAAAGAACAATAAACACTTACATTGAAGTATAAAATCTGTATCCCTTAATGTACAGAAGGAGGAAGTCTGAAGCAGTAGGAACCATGGTGACCAATCGAATCACTGCTAGTAATTGGATATTGATTGTTATATGGCTCTGAGTAATACATGTCACGTGGTTTTTTTTCATGACTATAAACATATACATACTTACAATTTATAGTATACAGGATCTTACATTATATTCAGTTTATATGAAATTTATGAAATGGATTTCAGACTTTTTTAACCGAGCATTTCGTGAGATAAAATTAAGAAAAATGATAAATATGACAGTATTAGTCAATATATGACATCAGAGTGGAAACATGGAATCTAATCACAGCTCCGATAGGTCACGTGTGCCTAAGGATATCCACGTAATGGCTGTTACTACATCGATCACAGTAGTTTTATGATAGATGTGCTTTTATTTAATCATTATCATTTTCCTGGTACTATCTATTAAGAAAGAAAGATTGTGGTATGGCTATGATTTTTTTGACGATAATCTTTTAAACATTTATAAAATGCAATGACATTTCGCTGACTTACGTCTTCGTCTATTTAACTTGTAATTTCTGTTTAAACGTCATAAATTTGGATAAATATATGAATCAACATTGATATTCTTGTTATATCTATCCACGTACAAGGTAGTCTAAGGGATGGTATGTATGCTCGGGACAGAAAGACCAAAGTAGCTTGTCAGAGGCTTTTTCCACCCTATCCAAAATTCAGCTTATATTTTAAGATACTGACCAAGTATTCTCCACGTCTATCAAATATATGTACAGGAAAAGAAAGAAAGAAGGAAAGAGAGAAAGAAAAGGAAAGAAAGAACATCTATTAGTGAGAATTCATTATCACATTGTTCATAGAAAACAAAGTAATTTGTAGAAAGTAGGACAAAAGGTGAAGGTTCTTTGGTACTTCCCTGTCATTACTAACGGCCCTGTAGGGGTCTAGACGATGTAACTTAAGATAAAAGATGCACACGCACAGTTGCGACACATGTGTTATAGGCTATATCATGTTCGCATAAGGAACCTGTTTTATAATATAAATTTAGAATAAGGTACAGTAGAGCTAAATTATAAAATAATCTTGAATTCTACAGCTGTCCTTCCAACATCTACAAACAGTTTTTATAGTCTTTATCGTGGTAGGCAAATTGTCGTTAAATCTTTTGTCTTGGTTCAAATTGGTTCAAATTTTCTACAGTTACATAGAGAATAAGTTCTCTGGAGTGGTAGAAAATGTGTGAATAATTTACACAGACAAAAAGAACGAACACGCCCACTAGTGTTTATTATTCAACCTCTGCCAATTTATTCATCCATTCAAGTTAACGACGTAATCGTATACGACGTGTTTCTAGATAGAAATTGTGGCCTGAATGTTTTTGGTCCGTGTTGAATTTCGTACTGATTTTATAAGATAGTAATGTATAATTAATCTACAAGTAAAACAATACACATCAACATTTACTTGTGTATGTATTAAATAGGTGAACACCAGCTAGAGAGAATGTTCTCTATGTAACCTCTTGGCACCGGTAGCGGGCAGAAAGACCAACTGCTTTCCTTCCAAAACTTCATCTGAAGGACGTTTCATTTTGTAGTTACTAGTTCTGTACAGTCTGTCCTTTACTTTATTTTCGTTGTACAATGTAAAATCATAAAATCTTGGTAGGGATTGGGGGTGGGGGGATGGGGGAACGCTTCTCATCTCTAGCTTATGTCCAGTCTTTCTTACAGGAATCAAAAGCACGTTAATGGTGTACGTACATGTAGGAGTCAGCCAGTGTATCTGGAGACACGTCACGGGGAGGACAGTCGTATCTCGTACCCATAGTACTGTAAGAATGCTGACATTACCGAACCTGGTATTCTCAGAAACAGACTTAGGCGACCTGCGTGTCCTTACACTCCATCAAGCACGAGGTATTGCTTGTGTGTAACACATTACAAATATGTCAAGTGCCCACT